GAGTTTGCTTTCAAAGTAGCATGCTAGCCACTGGGTAAGTAACTGCCCTTGCCTCAACTGCTGACAGTATGCTGTCCAAATTAGAGAAGTAGGATGCAAAAGAAGGTGACTGCTGGATTTTGCCAAGATAAGGTAGAACAGTCCTTCAAAATTCCTGCTTCACAGAAGTCTGTCAGATATTCTAAGCCTATAGGCCAAAGATGGATGCCCTAACATTGCAGAGGAACCTTGGGTGGCTGTCCAAGCAGCCAGATGTTTCTGTCATTTTTATAGTTTTGTAAGTTATTTGCTCTGCATTTCCTGCTTACTTAGGTAATATTTTATCCTTCTTAGTTCTCTGGTGGGGTTGAAGACTAAGTTAGTTAGAGTCTTACAGTTTTCTTAGTTACTAAATTCAAAAAAGAAACTCACAAAGGAGATGTAAAGTTTATGAAGGTTGAGAGACATAGAACCTTAAGTCGCTTATCTAAGAAAATGTTTTAAGGTCTAAAAAGATGTTTTCAGGTTGGTAATATAAGTTATGATAGAAAGTGATTTAGGTACAAAACTTTGGACTCACTAAAATAAGATAGAATAGTACTTTCTCTAAAGTTGCAAATACAAATGGACTAGACATTGTGAATGTAATTCTTACTTAATAATTTTTCTTATTGTTGTAAAATGGCAGGAGAAGGCCTTGGTGGGTGGAGCCAAAGGTAAGGGAGGTAAGGGAGACATGGTACCCACCTGGAAAGTTTTATTGGGGTGAAGGGAGAAGGGTAGACAGGGAAAGAGAGGGAAAAAGAGAAAGAGAGAGAGAAAAATAGAGAGAGACACAGAGAGAAAGGGAGGGAGAGAGAGAGAGGAGGTGCGTGCACCCTTGTGGCAAGAGAAAGGAAGGAAGAGAAACAAGAGGGAGAGGTTTCCTCTTAAAGAGGACTTGTTGTAAGATAACATTGTCAGGACACTGGGTGGGTCCCCAAGGGGTGGGCCTGAATGTTAACATTTATTGTGTATAGTTTTACTGTGTTAGGATTAAAACCTTTCCTTTTTATTTAGACAAAAAGGGAGAAATGTTGTAGGTTAATCTTTTTGTGCACTGAAAATGTGTCTCTGCTAAGGAACCTTCTGATTGGTTTAATGAAGAGCTAAATGGCTAATAACCAGGCAGGAGAGGATAGGTGGGACTTCTGAGGAGAGAGAGGAACTCGGGGGAAGAATCTGAGAGGTGGGGGATTCACCAGTGAAACACAGAGGGAGTTAGATGAACAGTATGGAGGAGAGGTAACAAGCCACATGGCAAAACATAAATTAATACAAACAGGTTAATTTAAATTATAAGAGCTAGTTGTGAACAAGCCTAAGTTAAGGACAAGCTTTCAGACTTATTAATAAGTCTCCATATCATTATTTAGGAGCTGACAGTCCAAAGAAAGCCTGATTACACTGGCCTCTGTATGTGCTGCTGGCTTCAGTAACCTTTGAACTTCTGGTACTGTTGCAGGGGCTTATACATGCCTGGAAGTCAGCACTAGCCACAGGTTGACATGCTCAAGGACCTTGTGGATCTCCACCAGTGCCATCCTCCTGGCTTATCACAGCTGAAGGACTTAAAGGTGGACATGGCTCAAGATTGCAAAGCTTCCAAATTATACTCACTAGAGAAGATTTTCTAGTGGAGCCCTGTAGTTTTCTGCCTGCCTGACTATTCCTCACTTGAAGAGATGTCTGTTTAACTTTTATATTAGCATAGTATTATAAGGAATGTTTGTGCATAAAATTGAACATATTCAAAAGACAAATCTTGTGTGATCATTCTAATTGTCCACTGGCTGTGCTCTCCATAATATAAAAAGGAAATTTATTAGAGTGTCTTACAGGCTATGGTCCAGCTAGTCTTGTTAGCAATGGCTGTCTCCCAAAGGAAAGGTCAAGAATCCAGTACTTGCTCAACCCATGAGGCTGGATGTCAAAGCTGGTCCTTAATATACCTTGGAATCACAAGACATAGCCTCTAATACCAGTGGAGGAATGAGCTTCCCAGCAAGAGCAAGCTGGTAAATGCTGTGGGAGGATCCTTCTATACGCTGTGAATATGTTTTGCTACCTTTGGTTGATAAATAAAGCTATTTTGGTCTATAGCCAGGCAGAATAAGGGTGGATGGGAAAGCCAAATGGAGATATAGGGAGAAGGAGGGCGGAGAGAGGCAGACACGATCCAGCCGCCCAAGGAACAAGGTGTCAGAGATCTGGTAAGTCATATGACGATGCATAGATTAATAGAAATGGGTTAATTTAAATATAAGAGCTAGCTGGTAATAAGCCTGAGCCACCGGCCAAACATTTACAATTAATATAAGCCTTTGAGTGATTATTTGGGAAATGGCTGCAGAATGGGGCAGGACAGAGAAAAAGCCTCCAATTACAGGCAAAGAACAAGAACTTCTTTCTACTTTGTACTTCATATAGACTGCCATAAAGAGGTGTGACCAAATAATCTAGATTTAAGTTGGATCTTCCAACCTTAAATGATCAAATTAACCAAAAATCCCTCATGGGTGTGTGTAGATGTAACCAACCGTCTTATGAAAGAAGAAACACAGAACCAATGCAAAGAAGAAAGCCAAGAGATCAGAGCTAAGAGCCTTACCCGCCTGTTGCAGCTAGCCTCTTAAGCCAAGAGACCTCTCCGAAAGAGATCTACTTCCTGTCTGTTTGTCTTTATATAGACTTTCTGTTCTGCCTTCTCATTGGTTGTAAAACCAACCACATGACTGCCTCGTCACTGTCTGTTGTAAAGCCCTCCAGGTCTTCTATGGTGTTAAGATTAAAGGCGTGTGTCTACAATGCTGGCTGTATCCTTGAACACACAGAGATCTACCTACCTCTGCCTACCAAGTGCTGGGATTAAAGGCGTGTGCCATGAACGCCCAGCTCTGCTATGGCTTGCTATTAGCTCTGACCCCCAGGCAACTTTATTTATTAACATACAAATAAAATCACATTTCAGTACAAATAAAATATCACCATAGGTGTGCCTGTCAAATGGCTTGACTTTCTAGTTTATTCCAGACGTTGAGTTGACAACCAAGAATAGCCATCATACAAGGTATACTTTACTCCTACCCTGTCATCTACAGGCCATGTCAGAAACATAGATGAACATGCTTGTGTCTTTCTACAATGTCAGACTATATTGAAAAACAATGAATTCACAAGGCACAGCAGTTTCAACAGCAGCTGTTTTCCACATATTTCTTAATTTCTTGATAACAATGGAGGACAAACTAGCATTTTTTATCTCAATTTTAACTATTAATATTAACTTTCTGCTCACATATCATAGTGTGTGTGTTTCTTTGTGTGTATGTGTGTTGCATGTGAATGAATATTTAGTTTTTTTTTTTGTTTTTTTTTGTTTTTTGTTTTTCGAGACAGGGTTTCTCTGTGTAGCTTTGCGCCTTTCCTGGAACTCACTTGGCAGCCCAGGCTGGCCTTGAACTCACAGAGATCCGCCTGGCTCTGCCTCCCGAGTGGTGGGATTAAAGGCGTGTGCCACCACCGCCCGGCCGAATATTTAGTTTTAATAAGTGTAGAGATGAGTCCAGCTGCTAAGGAAATACTTTCACGGATAAAAGAATAGGCAGACAGATGTGCATAAAGTCCAGTGTGGGGTACAGGAGGATGGCAGATGTGGTGGTACTGTGTTCCCCAAAATATTGTGCACCCTAATAAACTTATCTGGGGTCAGAGACAGAACAGCCACTAGATACAGAGGCTAGAAAATGGTGGCACTCACACCTTTAATCCTAGCATTACAAAGGCAGAAATCCATCTGGATCTCTGTAAGTTCAAGGCCACACTGGAAACAGCCAGGCATGGTGACACACACCTTTATCCCAGGAAGTGAGCCTTTAATCCCAGGGAGTGATGGCAGAAAGCACAAAGATATATAAGGCGTGAAGACCAGAAACTAGAAGCATTTGGCTGGTTAAGCTTTCAGGCTTTCGAGAAGCAGTTCAGCTGAGACCCATTTGGATGAGGACTCAGAGACTTCCAATCTGAGGAAACAGGATCAGCTGAGGAATTGGTGAGGCGAGGTGGCTGTGACTTGTTCTGTCTCTCTGATCTTCCAGCATTCACCCCAATACCTGGCTCCAGGTTTGATTTTATTAATAAGACCTGTTAAAATTCCTGGTACAGGCAGATATCAATTAAATAGGTCAAATCATTGTCAGAGAATGACAGTCCAAGGGACAGTCAAGAATCTTCTGCCTGTTGGTCCTTTATTGAAGGTAATCATATGACAAGTTGGTGGGGGTCCATTACCATTCTAATTTGAGATATTCACTTCCTTATATACTCAAGTTAGGGAATTAAATCCTTTCCTTGATCTAGAGTATTCTAAAATTGTTAGGTGTGGTTTCTCTAATAAGATATTTAATGTGCCCATGTGACCCTATAGTCTCAATTCATCCTGATAAATTTACAGAGTAATACCATTTCTATTCTCAAGTATAAGCCATGTGCCAGTCTATTCGATTTCAGTGTTTCTAGACAAGATGGTTACATCCATGTCTCTACCCATGTCCAGAGTCATATTCCATCCTCAAAAGAGTCAAGAGCTGCTTCTCAAACTGAATATCTCAGAGAAAGAGTCTGAAAAACCACCCTTTTTTTACAGGTTATGGAGAAACTTAGGGAAGAGCATCACCTGTTCACAATATGGACATATTTTCTCTCAAAGAAGATTACAAGACTAAATAGCTCACTCTTCATTCTACATGTACAGTAAGAGCTCCAGCTGCATTCCAACCCTGGTTTTGTGCCTGGGACTTGTTAGGACAGAACTGCAGAGTGACTGCTATGAGAAGCAGATCTGCTCTAATGAGCAGAACCAGGCACAGGATGGGTAGTTTCATTCAAGGAATGAATGCCACAATCACTTCCTCAGTATTTTCTATCAGAGTGACAACTCTGTGCACCAAGGGAGACCTGAGGAATCAGCAGGACTTACCTTTATGTGGTTTAGACTATCAAGGAAGACCTTAAAAGACTGTACCCATAAGAGTTATGGCCCTTCTTTCTGAATAATAGACCAGTATGCGTGGAGGTGTCTAGCAAGGATGAAGTCTTCCTTCAGCTTGTGAGAGTTTGGCATCTTTGTTGATTCTGTTAACATGGATCAGTACTGTTCTTTTTCCCAGCTGTCCTCCAAACAGCTGAATATATATTTTTCTATCTGCATCTCCTTAAATAACATCACTAACAGCATGTTTGTTTATTGGAATCAGCAATCAAACTCAGATCAGAATATTAGAAACCCAATTTACTATATATCATCATGTTATCTATATGTATGAACCTATACTTATATAATGTGATAGAGTAAGACTGTCAAGAAGAAATACTTACCAGGACTCCTGAAAACTATGGTAGGAAAGGGAATAATTTTGTAAAAATCATGCTGATAAGCATTCTACAGAAGTTTCATGGTTTTCATGTTACTTGTCAATCTAGATGTTCTCTGCTAAAGATACAAACATAGATCTCTGCTTTCTTGACTTTGAACTCAAGTAGATATCAGTGTTATGTCTCAGAAAATATAGCTTCATGAAGCACCAGGAGGAAAAATACTGCTAATAAAACTAGCCACAGTGTACATCTCACTTATAATAACACATGCCTGAATTTCAGAGACATTAAGATGTTTTTAAAAGTGTGAAAACATAGCATAATTTCTTTCACAAAACTTTAGGTAAACTGCAGGAAATCTTAGTTATGAAGGAGTAAATGTATATTAAAAAACATAATACATATAAGTTATGAAGTACAATAATAATACCCTAAGAACTACTACCCTTTCTATGAACAAGATGATACCTACTGTCCTGAAGCAATTTCACTTCCTAAATACATCTTATGCCTCCATGCCACCTTGCTTTAAGAAGGAAAAATATGTTTCTTGAAAAAAAAAATTCCTTTCAGAAGCTGAGATTGCATTTAAACATTGTAACTTTCAAACAAAACAAGCAATATTTACTTTTGAAATGAAAATTTTTAACATTTAAAACTGATTCACATTTTTAAAACTACAATGTGAAAAGTAAAACAGAAAAACACATATATTTATGAAATATTTCATGAAATAAGGTATATAGCTGCAAAAGTATTACTGTCTACTATACTTTCGTGAAATTTTGATAACTACACACAAATTAACTTTATAATCCATTGTGGATTTTGATCAACAGCTAAAAATTTCCCTGAAGAGAAGGACTTGACTCTGAAACTTTGTTTCACAAGTTGAATGGGACACCTACACATGTATATATTTTCCTCTTTGTTCATTGTTTATGTCCATCATAAACTTATGTCTAAAATATACATCAGATAAGCAAGTTTTGAAATGATAGAGCTAGCATTGTTTTTATTTAGTAGTCATTCACAAATCATCTCCCATGATCTCAAAAAATATAGTAAGCTACTCAAAATTTTGAAGGCATCAATACCCATTTTATTACTAATATTCAAACGAACAAGTAAGACTAACACATTTACATTTAGATATGGCTAGAACCATTTGTAGAATATAAATAAGACTTAAGTCTTAAATAGCTATAAAATAAATTCCATAAAATATTTTATAACAATTATCATACATATATGTACATATGCATATATATATATATATTTTCAAAGATGAGTAACCACAATAATGGATAAATTCTGCTACAAATTTTTAATTTAAAAATTTATTACATTTTATTTACTCATTTTGTCAGTGAGTCTATATATAAGAGAAAACAGCACCACTTTTGAAGGAGGTCAGAGAAACTCTTGTAGGAAGTTGGTTCTGTCTATTTACCATGTGGGTACAGGGACAAGACTCAAGTACTATTAGCAGCTAGGGCCCTAACTTGCTAACCCATTTTGCTAGTCCTTAATTTCTTTGAGTAAAACACACACTAAAAATTAGAAAGGTGTAAATAAAAATATTATGTAATATTGGTGTTTTGCTTATAAATGATCACAAATATACAATAATAAAATATAGTAATGTTCCCATTAAATATAAAATAAAACAGAATTTCATAGTTTTCACTAATTTGAATTTTAAAATTCATTTTGTTTTCCATGTACTTTGTAGTGTTGGGTTCAAAATCAGGCTCATTCATGTTGGGCAGTCCCTCTACAATTGACTCAAATTCTAAGTCATAACGGGAATTTTAAAGGACAAAAGGATATAGAAAAATAAGTTCAATTTCTCTTAGTTCCCACTTAGAGAAAAGGGGAAGATGAGTTTTAGTGGGGAACCAGTCTTTGGATTTTTAGGTTGCATACAGCTCTGATCATAGCTCAATAGTAGTACATTGTTTTAACATTGGAAAGCTCTAAGTTTAGTTAATTTCCTGCTCTTCACACAAATAAAATTTGCTTCTAAAGAGTAAGAATTTTCTTTGAGATGTGCAAATGAATAACAAAACAAGGAGAGGAAATTGAAGCAGACTTATCTTAGGTATCATTGGTGTTATTTAAATATTCTTTCTTCATTTCCTTCATATAATGAAGTAGAATAGTCATTTCTTTGAGAAAGATGCAATCCTGTATATTGTATTAATGAATGCTTTTTTCACTTGCTGATTCCTCAAGGTGTAGATAAAGGGATTCAGAAGTGGTGCCACTGAGGTATTGAGCACGGAAATTCCCTTGGAAATAGATACTTTCTGCTTGACTGATGGTTTAACATACATGAAGATGCAGCTGCCATAAGAGAGGGATATCACAATCATGTGAGAAGAGCATGTAGAGAATGCCTTCTTCCTCTGGCTGGTTGAAGGGATTTTTAGAATTGTCAGGGCAATGTAGGTGTAGGATATTACCACCATTACCAGTGTGATCAAGAGTGTCACCAAAGCTGAGACAAACCCCATCATCTCCAGGAGCTGCGTGTCTGTGCAGGAAAGCTGCAGGAGTGGAGTGGTGTCACAGTAGAAATGATCAACGATGTTGGAAGCACAGAAGTCAAGATTCAAGCCTAACAGGAGTGGTGGAAAAATGACAAAAAAGCCAGCAAGCCAACAACTGAGGACCAGCTGCACACAGACTTTGTTGTTCATGATGGTCATGTAGTGCAGGGGCTTGCAGATGGCCACATATCGGTCATAGGACATGGCTGCCAGCAAGTAAAATTCTGATGCTCCAAGTAGGAAAGCAAAGAACACTTGAGTCAAACAATTACCATAAGAAATGGTTTTGTCCCCAGTTGCCATTGTAGCTAGCAATTTGGGGATGCATGTGGTAGTGTAGGATATCTCTAAGAAGGAAAAGTTCCGAAGGAAAAAATACATGGGGGTCTTCAGGTGAGTATCCACCAGGGTGAGTGAGATGATGATCAGATTGCCAGTGATGCTGAGCAGATAGGTAAGAAGCAGGAAGACGAATAACACAACTTTCCACTGTGGGTCATCTGTCAGACCTGCTAGAATGAAAACTGTCACCCTTGTGTGGTTCCCCATTGTGATCCTCTGGCTGTTAGCTGGTCTAAGAGGACAAGAGAGATGGGTGGAGGGAGGTTATCACTACAGAACTATCCTAGTGATAAGTAGTGCTGAAATATCATTGTCATTGCAAGGACCAGGTTTCAGACAGCAACACAGTGCTCATCCATGGTCTAAAGAGAGCTGTACCAGGAAAATAGTAGCTTATAGCTTCATGGTATCTGGACAAAAATTAACAGTTACTTTTGATTTCACTCTAGAACAATCTATATGATGGTGTTATCTATTCATCTCTTTTAAGAATTATCAGGAAGTTAAAAGACCCTAGAATCTCTCATCCTCTCCTGTCCCCCTGCCCCCAGTTTACCCAGGAGATCTTACCTATTTTCCCTTCCTAGCATTCCATGTGTGTCCCTCTTAGGGTCCTCCTTGTTACCTAGCTTCTCTGGGGCTGTGGATTGTAGCCTGGTTATCCATTGATTTACATCTAATATCTACTTATGAGTGAGTACATACCGTGTTTTTCTTTCTGGGTCTGGTGCATGAACTGGCTTTTTAGAGCCCATTCCCTATGGTGGGATGCCTTGCTCAGCCTTGATGTAGGGGGGAGGGACTTGGTCCTGCCTCAACTTGATATGCCAGGTTTTATTGACTCCCCATGGGAGGCCTTACCCTCTCTGAGGAGTGGATGAGAGGTGCCGTGGGGGAAGGTGAGGGGCAAGAGGAGGAGAGGGAGGGGGAACTGTAGTTAGTATGCAAAATGAAAAGATTTTTTTCTATTTATTTCAATATATTTTTTCTCTAAGAATTTTTTTATTCATTTTACATACCAATCACACATCCATCCCTCCTCCTGCTATCCCCCAAGCCTTACCCTCTCCCTGACCCCCGGGAGTCCATTTGAAAAATTTTTTTTCAATGAAAAGATGACACTAGAAGACAAAAAAAGCTGTTTTGTTTCTTGAGCATACAACAGTTAGGATGGCAAGTCATATTTCTAGTTCACTTAAAGATGTTTAATTTACTACAATATTAAATATTTTCAAAGAAATTCAGTGACATTAGTCACTTGACATGCAGTGGTCTATATTGAAAAGGAGTAGAAGGGAGAAAGAGGAGAGAGGGAGGGAGGGGAAGGGAGTGGGGGAAGAAAAGAAGGAGAGAGAAAAGCAGCACTAGGGCCAGTATACCTTTACAGTTTACTCAGCTCATCCAGCTGAACTGTCTGATTTCCACTTCACTACTTCCATGGCAGTGATGCAGTTTCAAAATTGAAAACAAATCATTGAAGTAATGTTTATAGTTTCTACTGAATTCAGTAATTTGGAATAATTTTCTTTACAGTTTCTATTACTATTTCTATTGCTTAAAGATTTCTGCTGTCACCCTATATACTGTTGAATTTTCCTTCCCATACCACTTTATTAGGAACAGTTTGATACTATCAGTGTCCATAGTAAACCATTGTGATTTCTTATGATTCTAGTATCAAGAAAATAAATCTTGAGTGGCAGGTGCACCAGACAGGGAGAAACATGTAAATACAGTTTTAGGAGGTTGTATGAGGTGAGAGGATAAAAATCTGTGTGGAAATATCTGAGATATAAGCTATTTAGAGATGGGAAATGAGCTTGAAAAGGAAAATTTTAAAGGAGTGTGTGTGTGTGTGTGTGTGTGTGTGTGTGTGTGAAGCAAATGTGATTTTTTTGAATCTTTAAACCTCTCTTTATGTATGTCTAAAGCTTATATTTTCCTGGTTCATCTTATGAAGAGATTGACAAAATGAATACATGACCTACAAAAGAGAAGGATTATTTGGTAAATTTATAAAGCACTTAATATATAAAAATTATATATATGAA